GATAGCCTTAAGAAGATTTTGAAAAGGTGCATTGAGAAGAAATTGGTGTTAAACTTTGAGAAGTGCCACTTCATGGTCAATCAAGGCATCATCTTGGGACACATCGGCTCCAAAAAGGGAATTGAAGTTGATAAAGCCAAAATTGATGTCATACAAACCCTTCCTTACCTACCATGTGTTAGAGAAGTGAGATATTTCTTGGGCCATGCGAGATTCTATAGAAGATTTATCAAAGATTTCTCGAAGATCACGAGACCGATGTGCCTCCTTCTCCAAAAAGATGTTGACTTTGATTTCAATGTAGCATGTCAACAGGCCTTTGACAAACTTAAAGACTTGCTCACCTTCGCTCCAATAATCCAACCTCCAAATTGGGAGCTTCCTTTTGAAATTATGTGTGATGCAATCAATTTTTCCATTGGATCGGTTTTAGGTCAAAAGGAGGGCAAAGCATCACATGTTATCTACTATGCTTCCAAACCTTGGATAATGCTCAAGCCAATTATTCCACCACCGAGAAGGAACTTCTAGCCATTGTTTTCTCCATGGAGAAATTTCGACAATACCTTCTTGGGACAAAAGTGATTGTATACTCCGACCATGCGGCCTTGAAGTATCTAATGACCAAGAAAGATGCCAAGCCACGGTTAATTCGGTGGATTCTTCTTTTACAGAGTTCGATCTTGAGATAAAGGACAAAAGTGGTGCCGAAAACCTAGTTGCGGATCATTTAAGTCGGTTGAATATTGGTGGTTCTTCTTCTTCCATTCTTGATGAATTTCCGGATGAACACCTCTTCTACATTTCAAACACCATTCCTTGGTATGCGGATATTGTCAATTACTTGGTTACTAAAGAAATTCCACACGCATTTACCAAGTACCAAAAGGCCAAGTTGAAGAGTGATTCCAAATACTACGTATGGGACGACCCTTATCTTTGGAAACATTGTCCGGATCAACTAATACGGCGGTGTGTTCATCAAAATGAGGTCGAATTAATTTTGAAGTTTTGTCATGAGTATGCATGCGGAGGACATTTTGGTCAAAACAAAACCATGCAAAAGGTGCTAGAATGTGGACTCTATTGGCCAACAATGTCAAGAGACACCTATATATTTTGCAAGAGTTGTGATAGATGTCAAAGAATGGGAACCGTATCCATGAAGAACGAAATGATTCAAATCCCTATCCTCATTTGTGAGATCTTTGATGTATGGGGAATCGATTTCATGGGCCCATTCCCCGTCTCTTTCGTTATACTTATATACTCTTGGCGGTTGACTACGTCTCAAAGTGGGTGGAAGCAAAGGCTACAAGGCATGATGATTCTAAAACTGTAATTGACTTCTTGAAGTCCAATATTTTTGCAAGATATGGTGTACCGAGAGCCTTGGTGAGTGATAGGGGCGCTTATTTTTGCAACAAAATGATGGAAGCCATGATGAATAGATATGGTGTCATACATCGGATTTCAACCGCTTATCATCCACAAACAAACGGCCAAGCTGAAGTGTCAAATCGAGAAGTCAAACAAATTCTTGAAAACACGGTTTAACACCACACGAAAAGATTGGAGCTTGAAGTTAGAAGATGCATTGTGGGCGTATCGGACCGCCTATAAAACTCCAATTGGAATGTCTCCATTCCGCCTCGTCTATGGAAAGTCTTGTCATTTACCGGTGGAATTGGAACACAAGGCATATTGGGCGGTTAATAATTGTAATTTCAATATTGAAGAAATCGGGAAGCACCAAAAGATGCAAGTTCAAGAAATCGAAGAGTTGGGGAATGAGTCTTATGAAAATGCAAGCATCTACAAAAACAAGACAAAAGCGTTTCACGACAAGCACATCACTCGAAAACATTTTATTCCGGGCCAAAAAGTTATTCTTTATCATTCACGCTTAAAGCTATTCCCGGGAAAGTTGCGATCTCGATGGCACATACCTTTTATCGTTATAAAAGTGTTTGATCATGGTGCGGTTGAAATTAAAAGTTTGGAAATGAATCAAATATTCAAAGTGAATGGGCACCGTTTGAAACCATTTTATGAAGTCTTTGACACGAGAGAATTCGATAACGTAACATTGAAAACCCCGATTTACGAAGGTTGATGGAAGCGGGGCTATGTCTTGGCAAAGATGTTGAATAAATGCATAATAAATAAATAATCTCCGTTTGAAGTTTTGGTGTTTCTAAGCTTGAAGTTGGTCAAAAATAAGCATCTTAAAGTTTAAAAATGATCTTGGTATTGTATAAAAAAAAAAGTTGTGCGGGTGCCCGCGCAAGCGTTGCACGACCCAGCCCCAGCCGTGCAAATTCCGAGCTCCAACTTACCCCCACATGGGATGCTATCTGATTGCTGCGTGCGGCCTGACTCCACCCTCGCAGATCCTTATGCGGCCAAGACCAAAATCCCATTCCCTTTTTGCGCGACCCACCCGTCTTCAAGATTCCACCCATATCCAAACCCATTCGGCTAGACCCGACCCACCCGGCGATTTTCCGACCACCGTCAGTCATCGCCACCTGCCGACAAAGACCTCCGCTGCCACCGCCTCCAGTCGTCACCATCGTCGGTCGCCAGCATTCTTCCCCTACAGCTTCCACCTCCGCAACAGCCTCCTTTTCTTACCCCTACGTCGCCGGAAAAACGCAACCCCACTCCTACCGCCGTCCCCCTTCCTTCTAGCACCGGCGCTCACCATCCACCCTACTTCCCACACAATTCCGACCACCAAGCACCCACTTTACTAGGGGTGAGCAAAAACCGCACCGCAATTAAAATTAACCGCAAAAACCGCATAATCCGCAACCGATTAACCGCAACCGTAATAAAAACCGATGGTGAGGTTTCTGTTTTTCAAAAACCGCAAATTAGCGGTGCGGTGCGGTTATTAGTTTTAAAAAAACCGCAAAAAAACCGTACCGCACCGCATTTATTATACACAATTTTTTTATTAATTATTAATATATTAAATATAAAAAATAAGACCTCATGGATGAAGGAATGATAAAATTTTAGAAGACAAAAGTGTTTGTTTTTTCTTATGTTTAACTTTGGAAAATGGTGAAATTTGACAATTTTAAGATATTTATTTTTAATTACTGGTGATTTAACGTTTTTAAGATATTAGTTGTTTGTAATTTAAGTTAATTGTCTTATACCTTATACTTTTTTTATTATTACAAGTAATATGTTTAAACTCTTAAAACTGGTTGAACTCTAAAGTGCGGTTAAAAACCACACAAAATAACTGCACCAAATCCATGCGGTTAATAACAGAAACAAAAAAAAAAAAAAAAAAAAAAAACGCACCGCAAAAATAACTGCCTAACTGCACTGCAAAAATAACCGCACCAAGCGGTTTTGAAAATGGATTAACCACATTTGCGGTTAGTGGTGAGGTTTTGGCAATAACCGTACCGAACCGCACCGCGATCACCCCTACCTTTTACTACTGAGAACAGCCAACTGCTGCCACCATTTCTCGCTCGCCGGAAAATCGAGATAGCTCCATATCTCCGCCAATTCCTCTCCAAATTCAACATTTCTTGGGGCATTCTTCACAAAATACTCCCGGGCACACCGATCTATAGTCCATTTGGCAGATTTCACTCGCCGGAAACCCTAGCTCCGCCGTCGGTCGCCGCCACTCATTTTGACCAAAAATTTCAAAATTTTTGTTTGTCACCGGAGACTCAAAAGATTCAACCTTGCGGGTCAAATTCAAGCTTGGGGTGTGGTTTTAGCGGATTTCTTTTCGGTTTTTGACACTCGAATTTTGTACAATCTTTTTAATTTTATTGCATTCAATTTCTAATTTGAATAGACTTATGCTATGCATTAGATTGATTAGAATTGGTTTGCTTTGAATTGATTGGATTACATTGCATTGTATTTTTCCAAATTGCAAGTTTGGAGTATTTGCACGTATATATTTTTCTTTTTGTTTGGATTGATTGACTTGGTGTGAGGCGAGTGTGAGGGATAATTTTGGCCAAGTTTTTGTCTTTGTTAGGTGCTATTTACAGGTACAATGGGAAAGAACAAAACCATTCATGAGTCTCATGGTTCTTCCCGTGAAGGTCAATCATCGCAATCAACCAAAAAAGTGTCCACCGACCATGTCGATCGTAGTGATAACCTTGCCCTCACTAGTGCACAAATCAAACAATTCAAGTCCAACCTCCAAAAACGTGCGATCCAAGCCACAAAATTTCACCACCAGGAGTCGATTACCCACCTTGGCCTTGACGATTGCTTGCAACAACTGTTCTTCAACATAGGTTGACACAATTATCTAGATCTTTCCGCACGCACATACAAGCAGCCCACACTTGAGTTCCTCTCCACTTATGCACGGGATGACACAGAGGGGGTGATCACATTTAGACTCCAGGGTCGGCAGCACCGACTCCCATACGCCACCCTCAACACTATCATGGGCACATACGATGACCAAAACACCGACATCTACAGTTATCAATGGACTGAATTCAAGAGTCGGCCCAAAGTAGAGTTTTGGACTTAGATCACCAGTCTTCCAAACTTCAATCCAAGTCGACAAAAATATCCTTACATCATCCATCCTTGTTGGAGAATCGCCCACCGGATTCTTTCCACCTCCATCTTTGGTCGTCACGAACAGGGACAAATAAACACAGTCGAGTTATATTTCCTCTATTGCATGACTAGCCGCCGTTGGTCCTGCCCCGGTTTTGCCACTTTTTTCTTGGATAAATGTGTAGCATACGCACGAAGACCACTAGCGACATTTGCATTGGAGGTCCCATTACCCTAATTGGTTTGGGTATAGGCCTTCAATTTCCCCGAGTCTGAGTATGTGCCAGTGGATGACCCACCTCTCTACCTCCTCGACTGCTTCGCTCTCACCCGAATGGAATTATTGGTACCTATCAACAATCGTCAGTACTCTTGGCTCAATCATGCCATAGATTAAGTTTACATCTTACCTAATATCAGCATATCCGCCTTTACCACCAGCAACCCTGAAACTTGGTTCTTTCCTGAAGAGTTACATGATAATGATGCAGGAGATGATGACGACATGCAGGTAGACACTGGCCATGTTGATAGCCCATTTGAGGCTGAAGACCAATATGACCTCCCACTCCGACAACTGCGGCCACCATCTTATGCTCAGCCTTCGTGAGCACACTTCGAGCCACAACATGAGTACCAGTCCTATCAACAACACAACGAGCCCGAGCCCGAACCCAAGTTTCCTCTTGATATATATAGTCAGCTTGTTGCCTTGCGCCTCCAGGGCAACCGAAATACAGCAACCATTTGGCACATCGAGGAACAGCAAGCTCGCACCAACAACTACATGGATGATCTTTGGCATCACTTTCAGCCCGAAGGCGATTACCGTCCTCGCGGGCCTCCTCCACCTTGATCCCGATACGATCCTTCCTTACTCTCATCCTAAGCATTGAGGACAATGCTTAATTTTAAGCTTGGGGTGTGGTATTCTTTATCTTTTATTTTTTTTGCATTTAAGTTGTATATAGTTGCATTTAGAGTAAGTCATTTAGGTCATTCATAAAAATTGCATAAAAATTAAAAAAAAAATATTGCATGTTTTGTTTCTTTCTTTTCGAATTTTCATACTTTTTTAGATGCATTCTAGTTTAAGTTCGTGCATTTTTTATCTCTATTGTCTTCTCATCCCTACAGGTACCATAGCGACGAGTCATAAGTATTGAATCATAGATTGGTCCCGGGTCTTGATATGGAATTCCTTGTATTGGATAAATGGGACATGTTTTGAGCCTCACAGACCACTTTGAGACCGCTTGTGTGGGGATCAGATGCAGGTAGCTTGATTGGGTCTAGGTGCGGAGGGATGTGGTTGGTCAAACCGATGTGTGCGAGCAAAGATTAGCCCGGTAAGGTATTTTGAAGACATTGAAGACTCGCATCTTGGTTTTGGGGGGAGTACCCCTTAGTACTCCCTAGTCTCGTCCGAGTCTTACTTAGTTAGATTCTCACCACCTTTTTTAGGATAGGTCATCATTTTTTCTTGGGGTCTAGAGTAGATTGTTAGATATATTTTGTTTATCACACCTTGCATTGAGGTGCTCGATGAACTTTGAGGCGGGTCCCCCAATTCACATTTTTTGGGACCAAGTCTTTTCGGTAACACCCATTTTTGAGTCATTCCCCACCTTTTTTTAGTAGATAATGGCTTATTGTCAATGATCATTAGGTGTTCATGTTAGCCTCCATCTATTACTCCGTTCTCACTATTTGAGTCCTATGTTACATGGTGAAATTCCTTAGACCTTCCAAGAAGAAAACACAAAAAAATGAAGAAATTGGAAAAGTGAAGACAAAGAAGAAAAATGAAGAAAAAGAGCAACACAAAAAGAAGAACAAGAATCAAATTTCAAGACTTCTCTCCAAAAAAAAGAGAAGAAGACAGAAGATCGAGCAGCAAACAGACTGAAAACCAAATAACAGAAGTTCAAGATTGAAGATTTAAGCTATTAGGTTTAGATTTAGGTTAAGTAGAATTTATTTTATTTTATTTTATTTTTGATTTTTGGTGAGAAAAGGCTATCACGATGAGAAGGTAGATTGTAAAGGACAGTACAAGGGAGAAGCCTCTGAAACCGGATGTTTTCCCGGAGGCCGTGCTGCAAAACCCTATTTCGTTACTATACACTTTAGCCTGTCAAATGTAGGAATTATAATGTGTGAATAGGTGCCTTTCCTTCATGCATTATGGTCTGCATTAGTGATTTAAAGTGCCCCCACTGGGCGCATCCTCTGTTTCCTTTGTCTTGTACACCGCGACTACATCCAACCGTGATCTATTCGCCCATCAAGAGGTTCGAGAATGTAGTTTATGGCTCTAAAGTGGGGAACATTTTGAAGATGCATATGGTCCATGAAAGACTAATTCTGACCATGTTGACTGATATTGACCAAGTTCTATGGTATCTTTCTTTTTCCTTTTTAGTTTAGCTCATCCCAAGCTCATTTTAGTCTTGTTCTAACTTGAGGACAAGTTAGGTTTAAGCTTGGGGTGATTTGATAGCTTATTTTATTTCCTTATTTTTATTAGTTTGTTTTAGTATTTTTAGCTCTTTTTATTAGTATTGCATTCTATATTCTTTATTTTCTTTATCATGGATCGTGTCGGGTACTTTCTATTCTGCATGAAATATTTTGCAGGGTTTTAGAGCTCGTTGCGGTTGTGGTTTGACTGCAGTTGGGCTTGGTGGGCTTTTCGATGCATTATTGGGCTTTGTGGATCCATCAAAGGAGATTTGGGCTTAAAAAGTTGAAGGCTTGGATGAAGTGGGCTTGTGAAGATGGGTCATGGATTGTTATTTTGGGCTTGGAGCATCCATATTTGAAGCTTGAATGTGATTAGCCAATTTCAAATCATATGAGTCATGGAGGGGACCAAGGGAATCTTGGGTAGTGGAATGGTTAGTGGAGAAGAATGGACCAATAGCATTCTAGCAACACTTGCGATGGTGGCATCTCAGGCTCGCGGGTACCCGCGCAACTGCACACTTTTGGGCATTTTGGTCATTTTGTTTACCATTTGCCTTGGGGGTTGGATCTTTCAGCAATAACTTCGATTTTCCACCATTAGAGAGCTGGAGAGGCGATTTTGGCGCTTGAAACTCATTCTTCTCATCTTTCTAAGTAATTGGTAGTTTCTTGATGCAATTATACTTTTTTGATTGTTATTTTGTTGCCATGAGTGGCTAATTACTCTATTTTGGTTAACTTTGGCTAAAACCCTTGGATGTTTGTGGGTTTTTGAAGGATTCATGCTTAATTGTCATTTATCTTATGTTTATGATTCTAGTTCATATTTCTTATGCTTGTTTAATACTTTGATAATGAGATTGGTACTTGAATGAGCAATTTTCTTTGGTTTAGCATTGAATCATTGAATTTACTTAGAACAATGGCTTTATGATGGTAGAAATCATCTTCGCTTATGAATCATGACTCCTTTATGGATGTGTAAGCATTGACATCCTCTAGGAATTGGGGATTCATTCATTCTTAAGGCTAATCAACTTCTTCGGTTCAATTGCTTCAATTGGATCTTTGATTTTGATTAAGAAGGTGTGTTGTGGGCTTCCCCAACCTCCATACTACCTATGAGGAATCTCGGCATATTATGCTTCATGATTGCTATAACCAATTTGGGATGAATGATAAGCTTCATGTTGAATCCTAATGAGAAACACACAAATATTCATTGTGTTGAATTGCCTTGGTTAACCAATTCCCTCAAATATTTGAGCATCTCACCATCTTGCTTAATTCCAAGCTTTTTAGTTATTCAAGTCTTTTAGTTTTCAAGCAATGACAACACCCCCCCCCCTTTTTAGTTTAATTGTAGTTAGTTAGTTTTTTTACAGTAGTTCTATTGGATTGCATTGGTGATTGAATACAACCATTTCCCCGAGGATCGATACCCCTTTTTACCATTATATTACGTTTTATTTGCAAACAAAGGGTGTAGTTTGCTTGGTGGACTTGACATCCCACCAGCGAAGCTGCCCAGACTACCTGAAAGATCTTAAAGATAGTAAAGTCAAGTTGTGTGACTCTACTATCAAATTCCATTAAGATCCTGTTCATAGATTCTTAATACATGATGTGATAGTCACATTTTGATGTTTTGCAGGATCTAAGAGTTTTCATATTTTTTGCATTGTAAGGACAAGTTCCAAATTTTCGTTTATTATCAATAAAAGTGAAATTTTGGTTTATATATTTGGTTATATTTCCTTGCAATGGAACTTATGAAAATTGGTGGTTACATTTCTATTATTAGCAATGCTAAATGTGGATTTGATTCTTAGTTATATCATTTATGGTAAATGTCATAATTAACCAAGTGAAGAGGAATTCTCATCGCCCAAGTTTCAATTGGATAGAAACTTGGAGTCATACAATTCGAATTGTGTGATGTATGAGAATATTGATCGTTGGAAGATTAAGACTAATTCATTGATCACATGTTTGTGTGATTCAAGTGAAGGACTATTGGATCTAGTACACATTAATATGGACTCTTGGGATCCACCACAAAGGACGATAACTCTATTCGTTATGATTTACCGATGTTTTAGTAAACATGATTGTGTTTATAAGATTGAGCATAATTCTGATACTTTGAAAAAGTTTCAAAGAGTGACAGAACGAATATGAAGAATCTGTTAGGCAGAAAGATACAAGTTTCTCCAATCTGAAAGGAAAGGAGATTACTTTAGTATCACGTTTTATGATCATCTTGATGATTATGGAACCATGTTACAATTGATCCTCGAAGAGCATATTAGTGAAATTGTTTGACTAAGAAAAGGAATCAGATATTATGAAATGGTTTAATTAAGATAAGAGTCATACTTCTTTTACAATTAAAGTTTTAGAGTCATACTCTAGTAACTACAATTTGTATCTGGAAGATTGTTTTGTACTAAGCAGGTTTAGAACACCTTGCAAAATGTGGAGTAATAATGTTTTCTTACTCTGGCACATTTGGAATTGGTAGTTGTGATTTTTGGATTTAAAAACATAGGATGAACTAAGACCAATTCAATGAAGTGTTTTCTTGACAAGAATCAATACTAACTTTTGAATATTTGTTTTTGCTTGTCGAGGAATGTTCCTTAACAGAAAAACTTATATGTCAAGAAGTCAGTGGGAGTCTTATTGATCTTGAAAAAGTTTCAGGAGTCAATCAAGAATAAACCTTTTAGTAATCACCAGCACACGACCTGAGGTTGATAACCTATCGTGTTGACACATTCTTGTTTCTGTGCACCTTTCAGTTGAGTTGGAAAGCTTATGAGTTCTATGATTCCCATTTGACTACAAAAAGGCAAAGCACGTTTGTCAGTGAAAGTACATTGATCAATATGGGTGAGCTGCTTAAACAACATGGAAGCATTGGTAGGCCTTTGTGCTACCAGAAAGCAAGAAATTAAGAATAAGCAAAGTTCAGTCCATGAAAGGAAAAACTAAATTTTATTTTGGTTTTGTCCTCAACTTTATCTTATGATTGTAGGTTGGAAATGATAAGATTTACATGGATGGGAACACATACACCATAAAATGTAGGTGGCAAAAGTTTTCACTCTAATTCATGAAAATGATTATGAGGAAACACTTTTGCTAGTAGATTTTAAATATGATTAATATCATTATGGTTAGCAGTTGTGATAATTGCGTTCTCAAATTCGCATATGATTATGACATCCCTTTTCATAGTTCGAATTGTGAGAAATGGCAAGAAATAGTTTGAACGTTCAGGACTTATAGCTATAAGTCCTGAAAGGGTTTAAACACACAAATATGCTATCTAATGAAAGGTGTATAAGCTTGAGAAGTCTAGATGGAGACTTATCGAAGCATTACGTATCAGAAATCTGCACTTTAGTAA